TCTTCATTCTCCCCTTCACATCAGTCTTCATACTCCCCTTCGGGGACCCACACGTTGTGTGTCTGAGAGGGTCCAGGAAGCAAAATGAGGTGGAAAATCATATACTGGCCGACTGAGAGTTCAATGGCGGTATGAGATTCAGGAGGATGTGAGAACGGTGGTGGAAACTACTGAAGGAAGCCTTTGTGATGACCGTTATGATGCTGTTGATGGTGATGATGATGATGGTGATGATGATAATGATGATGACGGTGATGATGATTATGATGATCAGACATCCCAACCTGCAAAACCATATTTCAGGGAGGTTCCCGTCTCATTTCAGGGAGGTGTCCTTTTTTGTTTTTTACAGCGGCCGTCGTCAGAATATAAAATAAATAATAATGATAATAATTATATATAAATATATACACACATCAGATTTGTGAATTGATATTCAAGTATCTGTCAGTGTAAAGGTCACAATTTATTAGACAGCCCGAGATCAAGGAGTAAAGTCCCTGATACACAGTTGACTGGTTGCTATGGGCAGCAAATGAAATAAATGTTCACTATAACTAGACAACCAGGACATATAATTGATTCTATATTATCCACAAAGGGTTAACAGCACTCTCTCAACCCTGCAGCAGTGTCTGTACCTGCTCTCAATAGTAGTCTATGTCCGCCCTCTAGATACACAGTTGACTGGTTGCTATGGGCAGCAAATGAAATAAATGTTCACTATAACTAGACAACCAGGACATATAATTGATTCTATATTATCCACAAAGGGTTAACAGCACTCTCTCAACCCTGCAGCAGTGTCTGTACCTGCTCTCAATAGTAGTCTATGTCCGCCCTCTCTGTGCAGCAAGTAGCTTTCTTCCTTCTGAGAGCCAAGCCTCGTTCTGAGGTTACTCTAGAGATCACATGACCTTCCTCCAGGAGGCAAGCCTCACTCTGAGACTACTCTAGAGATCACATGGCCTTCCTCCAGGAGGCAAGCCTCACTCTGAGACTACTCTAGAGATCACATGGCCTTCCTCCAGGAGGCAAGCCTCACTCTGACCTTACCCACTGATATCTTACCGGAAAGGTTTACTCAGAGTAAAATTTTCAGGGAGAAAATGCCTCTCTCGCGGACATCAGGGAGCCGCTATCTAATAGAGGGAGACTCCCTGAACATCAGGGAGACTTGAGATCCCTGGATGATGGTGTTGGTGATAACGTTGTTGATGATGATGACAGTGATGATGGTGGTGGTGATAATAGTGATGGTGATGACGGTGGTGATAATAGTGATGATGGTGATGATGATGACGGTGATAATGACGGTGGTGATGATGGTGATATGTCTCCTGGATAGCAGTATTAGTTCCCCTTTTCATGCAGGAGTTTTTGCCTTATGCGTTCTCCGATTGAGTCAATGGAACCACATCAAATCTCATATCAACGCACGCATTGCAGCGCACGGTGAAGCACATCATCATACGCTGAACACGTCAACGCACATGATGACATTATTATCTGCGCAATGTTTATATAAAATAATCTTTTGAAGGAAAAGGCATCTGACCACCATGCGTAGCTGTGATGGGACTTTCATTTTGGATGGACTAGGTGAAGGGTTAGAATCTGAAGGTGTCACCTGAACAAGCAGTGAGCGGAGATCCCCCATGGAGGATACCGGCCGCATTATTATTATACAGGATTTATATGGTGCCAACAGTCTGCTCAGCGCTGTACATAATGAAGGGAGACAGTTCAGTTACAATACAAGTTCAATACAAGAGGGTTGGGAGGGTCCTGATCAGAGAGCTTACAATCTAGTAGGAGGGGCAAATGATACAAAAGGTAATAATCGTGAGGGAGGAGCTAATGGAAGGAGTAGAAGGTCAGCTATTATGTTGAGATGGGATAGACTTCCCTGAAGAGTTTTCAAGGATCGCCTAAACACAGAAAAGTAGGAGATAGGTGGGCAGGTTAGAGTAGGGAGTTCCAGGGGATGGGAGAGACTCTGCAGAAGTCCTGGAGGTGACGAAGGAGCTAGAGAGCAGGAGGCTATGAGAGGAGAGGATGGTCGGGTGATATTTTGAGATGAGGTGGGTGATGTAGGTCGGGGCAGAGTTGTGGATAGATTTGTATGTTGTTGTTAGTATTTTTAATTTTATTCGTTGGGCAACTGGAAGCCAGTGGAGGGATTGGCAGAGAGGGGTGGGGGATGGAAGCCAGTGGAGGGATTGGCAGAGGGGGGC